GTCAGCCGGCAGGACCCCCAGAGCCCACACCCCCGTCCACTACTCACAGCCGGCCGGTTTCCAAAAGCAGCGTAAAACGGTTCTGTGTTTGGGAAAAACAGGTTCCTGATGTCTGTCAAGCACTGGACTTTAAACTTTTCCGGCTTCTTTTCAATCACCTCTCTGTCAAACAAACACACACACAGGGCGGGTCATCGCGAGAGGACTCCTCCAGCACGTCGGGCTCTCCTTAACCCTCCAGGACGCCGGGACCCGAGGACACTGGTCTTGGGAGGCTAAACGTGTGTGGGTCAGCCCCGCTCTCCCAGGAAAGCACTAGGCAGGGAGGGAACCCCTACTTTCAAGTCTCCCCAGAGAAAAGGCTCGGGACACGTGACCTCACCCGAGACCTCGGCCAGTCACCCAGGGAGCAGAGCTGCCTCCAGAGCAGGAGGGAGGGAAGCACCTGGGGAGGCCCGCACACCCGCAAAGCCCATCCAAAGAGGAAAGGCGTCAGCAAAGCGGGAGCCCGTCTCGTTGGTGGTCGCCAGTGCCGAGTCCTAAGGACCTTACGCTCTGCCCTGCGTACGGGAGGCCCTGAGTAAACGAGGAAGTGCACCGCATGACTGAACTGGAGGATGGGCCCCAAGGAGGCAGCACTCTCCCTACACTCATCCACCTGCAGGTTCGCTGTAACTTCAATCAAACTCTCAGCAGGTTCTGCCTCCGGGAGGCCAGAGCCCGCTTGGCTGCCTCAAATACAGCCGAGGGGGGAAGGGTGGAGGCACTCAAAGACTGGCTAGTGGTCAGCAGCAGGTCCACTAGAATGAAGTGACCAGAACTCCCCCAGAGGGTGAAAATGGGAGGCGGGGCCAGGTGAGCGGTGGCATCTGGGACAAGGGCCATGGAACCCGGCCTAGGTCCCCGATGAGATGGACCGCAAGCTGATTCTCTAAGACTTGGAGGGACAATGTGGGGAGGGAAAGGGGGAGGGAGCGGGAGGGGCGGCCCCCCCAGAAAAGGGGAGAGCATCCCTCTGCCAAGTGGAGACACGGGAGAGGAGGCGGCAGGTCACGGACCGTCACATGACACCGAGCCCAGGAATGGGACCGTCCGCTGTCCGCAGATCCCTGGTGACTAGGAAGGGAGCAGGCAGACCTGCCTGCATTTGGGGATGACTTT